ACATTGCAATTCATTCACGTGTGCCCCTCCTTTCGTCCAGTGCTTCGCCAATTTCCTATCCAGTCATTTGTTAAATGATCATGCAACATACGATTTTCTCCCCACACTCTAGTCCATGCTTAGATGCAGCACCATTTGGTCAAGAAATACTTCCGCCAGTTATTTTTTGTCTGAAATCGGCGGCGTCTTATCGGTGCTAAGAATGCCGTATTCGACTTCCCATTTCGTGGTTCTCTCTAATGCCTGCTTTAGGGTAGTCGCAGTTCGGATTACCGTGGTTCAAGAAATGCACACCCTCAGGCTAATCTTTCTGGTAATTTACCATCGCTGCTAGATTTCGCTGCTCCTGCAGACTCCGTCGAGAAGGCAAGACTAGAACGTGAGGAAGTGAATCTGCGAATACGAGAAAGGGAACTACTTCGTCGAGAACAAGAACTGCTCCTTAGACAGCGACGTGTACGTAATCGAACACCTCCACGTTACGGACGTGTAATGCCTCCAAGACCTCCAAGAAATGCCACATTTCCAAAGACCCGAAGTTTTACTGATAACATCCGGCGATCAACCAATTTTAAACGCACCTTCAAGCCTTTGAAATCTTTATCGACACGATTAGCTGAGAAGCGAAGCACTCGTCGCTCAACTTATTTGCCAAAGAAAGCGGAGAAAAATCACAGAAATACAGTGGAACGGGAATTTAAAGAAGTGCACGGCGATATTTCCGCGAAGAAGAGCGCTGAGGAAGAAGGTTTTTATTTTAATGTTAACTTTTCTACGTTAAAGTTCACGATGTTACAAGTGTCTTAATTTGGTTTTATTGAGTCTCGTTTTATTTTTCGCTTGTAAAATTTCACAGATAAAGAAGCAGTTATGTTAAGGTGCTTAACGTTCAACACTTATTTTTAGATCTGTTTAAAAAATTGGATCATGATGACGACGTTGAGACTTTAATCGACAAAGTGATTGGAACAGATGAAAGTGATGATTCTTCTCCAAGGTGATGTCGTTTTATCCTTTTCTTTGGTAAAAAAGGAAGTAATTTTACGATATCTAGAAGTCGTGCTGTTGTTAAATTATTGGAATTCTGCGACAAAGACCTGTTAATGGATGAGATTTCTGGGAAAGTTGAAGCACTCTATACAAGTTCAGGACCATCGGACATCTATGATTGTACATCTAGTGGTGAGATTTTGCTGTGTCTGTAGTTATTTTAACACACTGGCGACGGTGTGTTGGCTCTTCGACGACCTAATTTTTCGATTAGTGCGGTACTTGTTGAGTTCAGAACTCTAGAGACTTGTACAAAGGAATTTACAAAGGAATGTCTCGCTTTAAGAGTCCACACATTTCTGTAACATGTTCCCTTATTCTTAAAGTTAGTTCAAGTTAAATTTTCCACAAAGTAAAGTCGAAGCGAAACTTCGATTTTAGTAGCCAGCACAGAAGAGATGAGCAATATGAGTTTTTGCTTTTTAAATTGTGTTGGTGTTCGAAATAAGAGTCTTGAAGAAAGAGTATGTTTGATGGACTCCAGGAATCAAAGTTCCTTTATTGGAGAAGAAATAAATTTGTATCTTACTGACAAAGTTCTGTCGATCCAACCGGTTTTGTGGAGTCGTGGAAGTGATTAAACGCATATCTGGCCTATACAATAACTCGTTGTGACTTACCGATGTATCGTCGATTATTCGGTAGAATTGGAAATTGATTGACTAACTGATTTTGAATAGTTGATTTTGAAACCAACCGTAATCATCTTAATAAAATTTTTTGTTTCTAAGGCTTTGAAAATATTTAGGAATCCATTGTTCTTTTGCTTCCATGTTATGTTTCAATTTTTCATGAGTTCTAGGTTATCTTCGCAAGTGGAATCCAACAGTATTGGGCCCACTTGATCAATATGTTCCACTGAGATCGTTCGAGGAAGAGGTAAAAATTGACTCATCCGATGAAGGACTATCGAGTGAGGTTAGAATTTTGTGATAAATTCTTTCTGACAAATTACACGTTGTTGATTGTTCACGTTTGGATACACTCTAGCTTGATAACATTAACATGCATTAAAGATACTACAACGTCAACGTTGTTTTCACAGTCTTGTGTTGAGTTCATGAAAGCGATGGTGAAATAGCAATTACGAATTTTAGGAATACGAGTTAAAAATACGAATTACGAATGTGTTTTTACGAATTAGTTACTTGTAGCTTCTCCGGATATTAATGCTCAACTCCAACCCTCTATTTTCAAAGTACCATGTCTTGGCTCAGAAATGAACTTTATTTATCGAAATATAAAGGGTTGAATTTTGCAGATTTTGTCTACCAGGAAAAAGTTCCAGGTAGTTTAAATTTCTGGTCTTCTGGAGATTTATATCTCAGCTTGGTTTTCGAAGGATTTCTCGCACAAGAGTTTGTCGAGATGCTTGAAAAAGTGGTAGTTGGCTGGCAAGGGGTCTGGTGAATATGGTGGATGAGACAGAGTTTGGTGGACTAGCTCGTGTTACCCTTTACAGCGCCGGCGTTTCATGTGTCAACGCGTGTTATTGGGAAGGACTGGTACCTTCTTTATTGGCCAATGCAAGGGCAGACGTCGAACTTTCTGTTATACTTCGTCGATTTGCTGCATTTCTCCAGCGTAGTCGTTTCGTGCAAGCTCAGGAAGCTGTAAGTGATCAAACCATCAGCGGATCACGCAGCGTTCAACATGACTTTTGGTGTAATTTCTACTTAGGGAAGTGCTGAGGAGTTTTATTGGTGTCCAACTATAGCCGACGCCAGTTGTAGAGCATTCGCTACTTATCTCACGTCACACTGTGATCGAGAAATGGGTCAATGGTGGCAAAGAAGGAGCGACGACTTTTTAAATATTGGTTCAATTCGTACAACATTCATTTGTGGAACATCTTAGACTTTTTAGTTTTCTTTGAATGTTCCGAAATATTGAGATGTTTAGACTTTCTTCAGAAAGTTTTCGAATACTTGTTCTTGTTATTGTTTCCTTATTTAAGCATGCACCAAATTGTTAATAAGATTTATTCAATAATGGCTTACGTTCGGCTTTCCGTAGAAAGCTGTAAGTCCTTCTTCCTGTTGTCGAGGATCTGAGCCTGGAAAGATATGATTCGCAATGTCCACAACCAAAAACTTTTATAAGCACAGCAGAAAAGAAGTCGTGCTTGTACTTGTTTACTTCAAATCCTTCAATCCAACGTCTTCAGTAGCAGAAGGATATTGGCGATCTTAGTCGTTTTAAAGGTCTAGTTCGCCACAACGAATTTTCCAGTTTTCCCAAACCAACACCGCACTGTGCATTAGTTAAAATTTCTTTGGGTCCACATCTTACTAATGTGTCGATCCGGTTGCGCTACACACTACTGAGTTTTCATTCGTAAAAGTAAATTTGTTGAACTTGTTGTTTCGACATCTGGAATTCTAACCTTTGAATTTTGTAAAAGACACAATTTAAATATTAATTCAATTATATATGGCGAAAATGCATGAAGTGGGCTTTGTATGTGGTAATAGGGCAGTCGAAAAAAAAAGCCGTTGATAGATCATATACAAGGAGGACGAATCAATAAAATCTCACATTATATTTTGTGTAAACGTTTCATTTATTCCGTTTGTTCAGATATTTCTTTTACATTTAGTCCTTCGGCGTGTGACGGATCTGCTTTTTCATTTTCGTAGATCATTTTTTATATTATATTAATTGTAGTTTTTGATTATTTATGCTTTAGCCGTTAGGTCATAGCATAAAATGTAATGAACCGTTTTTTGAAATTTTCAAAATATTTAATGGGCCGAAAAATCTTCCAGCTTTAGTGGTCGTTTAGTGCGTTATAGTCTCAGATTGATGACTACGCTAACAGTACTGTTTTCCAGCCTGAGATTGCTTGGTAAATGTTATGTGTTATTGATTCGGACTTGTCTCTTGCTTACGCTGTTAACCTGTAGTTGTTGTAAATATGCTCAGTTGTTGTGCTAGACCATTTTAAAACGTTGGAAAAGCTACCACATAATATAAAACGAGGAACCGACTTATGAACGATACAAGCGATCTACTCAAAAGCTGATGTTCTGCACAGATGGCTGCCCAAGCCTAGAGCAAGAAATGAGGTTGTGGGAAGGGTTTCACTTCACGTTTTCAAGAAACGCATTTACAAATTACAGTGAATTCTTGTTCAGTTAGGTTTTCGTTAGTTTATTGATCCATTCGGTATCTTAATGGCTATTTGGTAGCAGTATCTTTGACAGTTTTTGGTGATTTTAGCAAAAATTTCTGCTTAGATGTCATTTCTGTTGATCTCAGCATGTCTTTTTTCGGCTTCATTATTTTTCCTCACTTTCTTTTTCTATTTAACTCGTTTTGCATTATAGCACTTAATGTTTAGCATTGTTTTAGGTTTTGAAGAATCTCCAGTCAGTGTTGGAAGTCTCAGGATCTCTATCTGCATGAACCACTTGTTATCCTCGCGTCATCCTCAATTTTTTTTTAAATTTAAAGTCATCTATCATTCTTATGTTGATTTCCACTATAAGACACATTTTTACCAATGCTTCTCTTTATGTCGAATATTAAGTAAATGTACAATGCTTTGAAACTCGCGAGTGAATACGTTCCTCGGTATGGAGAGAAATGATTCTTACCAACAGACAGTGTTTGCCATGTTGATTTCAAAGTTTTTCAGATTTGTGTTATGCATTGGTTTAAGTATTCGTTATCGTTTTGTGGTTTGTTACCTTCCCATTCTCTTGTAGACCTGTTTTTTATTGTAAACATGTCGTGGTTTCCATGAAAAATATCATGCATCGTTTTGAGTTTTTCGTCGGCAGTAGAACGGTTTAATCCATTTCCTAAATCATTTTTGTTCGTTCTTCTTGTTATTGTGTAAGTCCATGAATTATAGTTTTATCTTGGCTGAGCCTATTTTTGAGAGCTCACAGTCTTCATGCATAGTGGCGTGTGTCATCATTAATCCTGCCGAATACGTTTCGAAAATGTCTGAAGTTTGGGAAGGTTCGTAGCCCGTTGTCTTATTTGTTGCAGATTATCTTTGATATTTTGTTTAAAGCTTTGCGTAAGCGGGCACGTGCAGCTGAGAATAGTATCGATGTTAAGCTGGTTTCGCTCAACAAGCTGAATTCAAATCCAGGTGTCGATTTTATCACCTTTTCACCCTCGTATAGTATTAACGGACGTTCCTTGCACTATCCTATTTCCGAAGCTCCGAATTTGCATAGAATTTGTTTCAAAGAAAAAGATTCTGGAAATGTGAAATATAATCATAATAATGCTGAGGTACTTGCAAAATTCCGGACAGCTGGTGTCTGCGATAAGGACCGAACACGCTATTGCCCACTCTGGGGGCTAAGGTGTTCAGCAGCACATTAAGCGAATCCTTCGTTTCGCCTTTCTCTCAGCAGTGTTTTTGACCTATAGGTGCTATCAGCAATCACCCGTCAATGGGATTGCCACGTCAGCCATCGGGGCGGATAGTATAGTGTTCGATCCCCACCACAGACACCATCGCTCTAGAGTTTTGCAAATACCTCGGCATAATTGTGGTTATATTTCACGTAATACTCTGTAATTGCAAAAGAATAGACAGGAAATGAAAGGGCGTGTGTCTAGATGTGAAAAAGTAGATGAAAAGTGACGACATTATTGCATGTGTTAATGCAATGTTTAGGCTAAAAAGCTTGTAGTATCCTATCTGGTCACTTTTTTTGTTCTATAGGGAGGTTGGATAGCGATGAGAAAACAATTTCCACTCGTCAAGCACTCTTCGACACTCTCACAGAAGAAATTGAGGGACTTTTAACGAAGCTAACACATGTCAATGATGAGGTTCTATAGTTTGAGAGATTTAGGTGTATCTTATATATATATGTATATATATATATATATATATATATATATATAGATGAATGAGGTCGTTGGATCTCAAAGTTCGGCTGGGTGGGCAACGAATCCTGCAGTACAACATACGCTCAGAAGGCATCGGGAAATTCTACGCGACTACAGCATAGAGTTCCGTAGAGCTCGAGATAACGTCCATCAACAACTTCAGAGGTATGCCTTGCAAGATTTTTCGATTATATAGGTCTTCTAATTTGTCTGTTACTCTTTGTTTCATAAGTGTCTTTTTCGCTTTTACAAATTTCAGCTCTTCAGATTTCTAGTTATCTTGTTTAGGGAATCACTACTTTCGGGAGGAATAAATGAGTCCACTAAAGAAGGTTCATGTCTCAACAATCGTGTAAAAGGGTCAGAATTATATTTAAAGGAGAATGAGCATATCAAAAGTTGTGATAAACTTCTCGATGAGCAGATGAAGTACGTGTTTAAATATTTTCATCATGTTAAATTTTTATTTCCTGCCTACTATAATTTTTCACGGCAGAGTATTATGTGAAGTACAACCATAGTGATGTTGAGATATTGGCAAAACTCCGGACCGCGAGTCTCTGCGGTGGGGAACGAGCGTGCTATTACATTTTGCATAGCTAGCGCTTTCACCGCCACATCATGCAGATCCTTCGTTTCGTCGGTCCCTCATACACCTGCAGTGTGGAGTTTTGCAAATATTTTGGCCTCATTATGGCTGTGTTTTACATCTCTTCGCGTGATTTTGATTCTTATGTTGATTTTTTCCATCGAAAACTGCCGAAAAGTTAAGCATTGCTATGGCAACTAAAGGGAATTTGCAACGTCAAGGTGTAAGTTTGAGAGGGATCGGTAAGAAAATGGACACCTTAGCAAGTGAGTGTTGTGGTTTTATATGCATCTACATATTCTGTTAGGCTTCTTGGCTTTGGCTTGTTTCTGTGTTTTATTGTTCCATTCAGAAAAGTATCCACTGATCAACAGCGCCATGCAGAAGATTCAGTACAAGAAGCGAAAGGATGCTGTAATATTGGCGTGTGTGATCTCTTTCTGTACAATAATTTTTCTGTACTATATTATGAGCTGATTTCGATCGAAAGATGAATGCGATTTTTCAAATATTTTTTTCGCGATTAAAGTAGAATCCAGGAAAAAGGCAGGATATTTTAAGAGAAAGTTTAAGCATTTGTGTAGATGTACAAGTTGTAAGTAGAAAACAAATTTCTTCTTGCTGTGAAGGTACACACGGAGTTCTACCACTTGGAATATGTCACGAATACAGTGAATGTAGCGACCCCACCTATTTTGTAGTTTGTTCCTCATTTCCTTTTCATTTTCCATAGTGTCAAACATATCTGTCTTGGATGGTGAATGATTGTGAATAACGTAAATGCTGTTTCTTTTATTGCCTTCTCAAGTGCTGTGATAATTTACAGTGGTTAACTTTGAGTTCGATCTAAATACGATTCATTCGAGTTCTTCTAAACAGAATTATTGCCTATTGGTGAATATAAATACGTCTTGGTTTCCTTTGGCTCAAGGGAACTTGGTCCCCTTCAGTGGGTTACTAATTAAAGAGGTTGTATTAGTTGGTAGTAAATTGCTAGTTCTGTTTGTAGTGTTTACTATTCGGAATTAAAGATTTCATGTGAGTTTGATGTTTTATCCAACTGTGATGCTGTTTGTTGTGGATTTTTGGTCTTTGTTTTTCTCAGTGCCCATCGTTGATTTCTATTTCTGAATTGCAAAGGTATAGGAATGCCCTGAGACTTGGTAAAGGTTTGGAAATAATGAGTGAAGAGTAGAGTAGCTGGTCTGTAGCCAGCCCTTATCTTTGGGTTAGAGGTTTTTCTCAGGGATATCTGATTTTGTCGTGAGGATTCGGTAGCGAAATTGGATGGGAGTTATTTTACTAGCGTTTTAACAGTATTATCTCGATGAAGGTTTTAAAGTTTGTTGCTTATGTGGTAGAGAATGATTACATAATAAGCAGGGAAGTCGTCTAGTTTCTTGGTCATTTACTGGAGTCATGCCTATACGACCGGTGATATGTCCTTCCATACTGAATTCGGATCTCGCAAATCTGGCAGAGGAATGTCAGAAACTCCTTGCGGCAGGTTAGGCTTCGCTGATTTATGCTTTTATTATATCACTCCCTAAGCATTGTTCTTTGAAATGATCTCGCGAAGTGCTATAGGTGCTGACTGGTTGCATTTGGATGTCATGGATGGGCATTTCGTGCCGAATTTGACATTTGGTCACCCAGTTATCGAATGTTTGAGAAGAAGCCTTGGGTCTGCTCCATTTTTCGATGTTCATCTTATGGTTAGATCCTTTGTTTGTACAGATTCGTTTTCAGAAATAAAAGGTACTTTTTGCATAACTGCATTGATCATCTGTTCCGTAATGTGAACGCCATTGAAAGGAACAATTTCACTGTCATATCCATTGTTAGGGCGATTCGTCTAGGTGGCAGATCCAAGTTGTTGGATAACCGCTATGGCATCTGCTGGGGCATCTCAGTTTACATTTCACTGGGAAGCAGCGTATGAGAAAGGTGGAGATGCTGAAGTGCTTGCGGTAATTGAGAAGGTGCGTTGTAATATAATCAACAACCGTTCAAACAGTGTAGAACTAGTGAGTATTTATACACGAAGTATTATAAAAAGAACAGAGTTCGTTGTGTCCTTACGAATTCAGCCATTGTTTGAATACATTCTTCATATCGTATTCGTACACTTATACACCACTAAGCAGGGTATTAAGAAAAGGCGGTCATTCTCAGCGTTATTTCATGAGTTAATATCAGTATGGGCAATCTAAGAGTATTTAGATTCGCCAGTCTAACATGAAAGTTGGTTTTGCTATTAAGCCGAAAACACCCGTGGACAAGGTTTTGCAGTGAGTTGGCAAACGTTGTTTTCGCTTTTTTCTTATGGTTTCATTTGCTTCTGTTTCTTTACTAATTTCTCCACAATGGTAATGTTGATCTTGGAAAGCAAAGAACTCAATTACATGGCTTTCCGAGTCTTAACACATATATCCCTACGTCCAATTTTATGTGGTGAGTATGTAGGACAACGCGTAATTTTCCATCATAGGGAGTACGAGAAACATGCCACTTAAAGTTACCACTTTTCGCTTCCAGCTGGCAACCCACCCACTTCTCCTCTCCGTCTTTCTTTTTTAGTTCTACATTTTCTTCAATTGGTTTCCTATCTTGTCGGTAGTTTCCCTGTTTAACACGCACGTAATGCATGTTCTACCTGTCCTCTAGCCCACTAAGCCCCCTATCTGTCAGAGGTTGTGGAAATGCCAACACATTTTTCTGGGATCAACTCGCACTTTTCTATCCACAGGAACTAGGCACTCTCCTATGACGATGTGGGAGTGCACTAGCATATCCACTTCTAGAATTCCAGGAGAAGCGACTCGACAAGCATTCAGCGACACTCGCAAGGAGGATCAAATAAGCATCAATTGTACGGACCCACAGCAAAATCCGAATAGTGTTGACTGTGAATTTGAGGAAACGAATCCAGTATGAGAAGAATCCACGCGATATGTGATTTCAGTCTATGTGAAACAAAATATAAAATAACTTTTCTGTTTTATATTCCATATATCTCCAATGGTTTTCAATGCGTCTTCTCATATTTTCCGAACAAATTTAACTCTTGCGAGGTGAAGAAAATTGATCTACCAACCACGATGCCCGCAGCTTTTGATAGTCTGTCTTGCAATCTCGATAGAGGAAGAATCTTACTCTACCGTGCCCTGTTATATAGAACGATGATTTATCTAGTGGCATCCACTTTGATCTATTTCTATGGTTTATGGCAATGCATCCTGGAGAAGTCGGTCATACACTAACCAGCACATATTATCATTATCATTCCTTTGTTAGCTAGTACTCATTTGAGCGGTGCTCCACTCGATCGGATTCGGCTTGGTGCGACGACAACTGCCTATAGACAATCGACTTGTATCAACGCGGGCTTGAAGAAGAGCCGAAACAACCAAACAAAACTCTATGTAACATCCTCATCTTAGCTTAGTCATCTACCAAAATATTGATTAGTTATGCCGAGGTTAAAGGAAAGTCGACTTTTAAAATAAAAATTTGGAATCAATGCCTTCTTGGATTATTAAACTAACAGTATCAGTAAAGAATCAACGTTTATTACCTCGCGTTAGCTTAATAAGCAATAACCTATTGATTATTACTACCGAAGTTAACGACGATCGATCTCAGAATTTAAAGATTTAGAATTTAATCGTTTTCTTGAATGGAGCAGAGGCATCTATTTCGGCGGTCTGTGCCCACAATTTTTTCTTAATTATAGCTCTCATAAATTAGATATATTGTTTCTTTCGTAATAAAGATAGCACCAGTTACTTTGTTCTTCTTTCTGTTGAGCCTTAATTAGTCGCTTTCTCAACTTTTGGTAAATCACCTGTGTAGAGTAGAGAGTCCTTTCGTTGCGAAATATTAGATATCGTGTTACTTACTTGCCAAAGAAAACTAGGTGTTCTAGAAAATCAATTAAACATTGATTAGAAGGAGACATGTTTTTCCTATACACTGACCTTCGTGGACCTGCTGATTCTAGAGTCAACATTTTTAGTTTCAGTGTTGTATCAATTTGATACCCTTGGAAGCATGAAGAACTTGCTTTTCCAGGGGCCGTACCATAAAAACGATCTAGATACCTCTCCCTATTTCTGCGTTTTATAGGTTCGCGGATAAAATCGACATGGCGTTGATAATGACAGTTGAGCCAGGATTTGGTGGTCAGAAGTTTATGTCCGACATGATGGACAAGGTACATATTTACTGTTTCTTTTAAAAATTGCCTGCTTGGTGAGCAATGTTTAGGTTCGCGTACTGAGGAAAGCATATGCCAATATCGACATTCAAGTTGATGGCGGTATTTCTCCGCAAAATATTCAAGTAAGTTATATCTTAAAAAATATTTTGAGCTTTCCTTTTCGAATAACTGCCACTTCATTTTAGAAAGAAATAGTACTGTCATTTCGTCAGTGGTTAATAAAAAGTATGGAATCTCAGCATGAGTGTCTGAAAGATAATCTAATCGATCAATATTTGTAAGATTGGTAATACATAGGTAAATTACTGGATGACTTTCATGTGTTTTAGGTCCCAGCTGAAGCTGGTGCGAATGCCATAGTATCCGGAACAGGCATCATAAAAGCGTCTTGTCCGAAAACGGCCATCAGTCAAATGCGAGAAGTCGTACAGATTGCCATTACCCAGAGTCATTCTATTGTTTGACAGTAGCGCAATAATCTTGCTAACACATTGATGACTGTGCTATTTTAGAGGGGTGTTATTTGGTAGCGCGGATTTCTAGCGCAATTTCAGGTAAATATTTCAATTTCACTTTCATTTATAAACGGGAGAAAAAGGCTAGTAGGTGAGAGTACTGTATGTTAGGTGGTAGCTAAACCATATGAGTACAATATTATAGCTAGTATGGTCTAAAATTATATTCGCCCGTAACTCCGAACGTATGTTCACTACTAGATGGGCTTCCAGAGAGCAATCTGGACCTGTTGATCTTGAGTAATACTGTAATACCAAGTTGTCAGAAAAATAGTATTGGCTTATTTTTTGAAGTCTTGATGGTTTATTTTTGCCTAGAGTTTTAAGACTACCTAAATATTCTCTAATATTTTAAGCACTTCTTTCTACGTTACTTTATGTTCACTTTAGGATAGTGACAACAGGCAGTACTGCTATAATAGCACCATAGTTTTTTCCAGATAACCTTATAAAAGAGAATGTTTCTGTAAATGTATTTTGTCACGTCTGAACAAGTTTTTACAAAGGTTATAGATTGCATTGGTCTACCTTAACATTCCTGAAAGCTAAACTCCGTTTAATGCAGATGAGTACCATATTATAGCTAGTATGGTCTAAAATTATATTCGCCCGTAACTCCGAACGTATGTTCACTACTAGATGGGCTTCCAGAGAGCAATCTGGACCTGTTGATCTTGAGTAATACTGTAATAGAAATATAGTCTTTTACGCAGCGCATTTCGATTCCAAGGAATGTCTCACCATATGAGGATGTGGGCCATTGAAGAGGCGTTTACACTTGTTGTCCTTGTATACGGAAAAGTATGACTGTAAAGGTACACCCCATGAGAAAGTGTAATTTCTCCTTGGAAACCCTTCCAGATGCACATCTCTGCCTCATAACAGTTCGCTAAAAATACGCGATTCCATTAATGGTCACTTCACTTTTCTTCTTCTACTTAACTTCCTTTATACATCCTTCACTTTATCAGCTCCGCACTTTCATATTGCCTTTATTATTATGTTTTTCTTCCACGGTTTTCTCCGATGCATGTTTGCATCGGTTCTTTCGTGAAGTATAATAAAGAAAAAACTGTCCAAACTGTTTGTTTATCCTTGTTTTTCGTTTAGCATAGGTGGTTGCAACTTTTTTACGAGAATGGAAGAATGTTTCATTTGCTTTGAAGACACCAGCCACAATGTCTCGTAAGGATCATCTCCATGAAAGTTCTTTGCTTGCCGAGATCTTAGAAGTAATGTGATGCTCGTTAAGTATGAGTAGAGCACTGGTTCGACTCGTCCGTCAGGCCTGCCATCCCTCCGTGGCCGGCCTGCAAGCTGGTACAGGACTCATCTGGAATCATCTAGCAATCCTCAATCTACGAAATCTGGAGGCCGGTTGTGACGAAGATTTGGTAGCGCTGCAGCATGGTTATCCCAGGATCACAGGGAGAATTTACTTGATTATCATTGACTGCTAGTTAACCAACAAAGCCTATAGCGACCGAAAGGTTATTTTTATCGTCGACAAATCCGAATTTAAATCGACGAGTTTTATTCGTTTGCAGTAGCCATGAAGTGAAAGTTGTCGCGTATTGGGTAAGGCATGCTAATGAAGCTATATCATTTTGACAGCGAGGATTTCTGCAGGGATTCTATTACACGGGTCGTATGGATATATTAGAGAATGGCTGTTGGCCAGTATTAGGTATCTTTTGGTCTTACCCTTATCCACAGCCGAAAACGTTTAGGTGGCGTGAAAAACGAACGCCTTTATGTGTCAAAGCTCATTGGCTAACTATATTACTCCTACACATAAGAACTAGCGTTGAATCTTATTACATTAATAGCGCCATAACACTGCTCTTCGTTCATCCATTCTACCATCTCGCCAATCTCGTTTATCGGACGATAGTAGCAGTACTACGGGGATGGCAAAGGCATGTACATGGAACATCCACCTGGAATTCTGTCAAGACACGCGGAAGAACGCAGATAACCAAAGTGAAAGAAGCGTCGATGTGCGGTCGAGAGTGCTAATAACTTGGAAGATATTGAGCAATGCTAGGATCTGTTCTAGGATAGGATCCCGGTTGACTTATTAATATTTTGACTAGTTGATTTTGGCTCCTTTGTATTTTACAACTGAAAAGGATGCACGGTAGTTCTAAATTATCGAACTAAAAGTGCTACAAATCCATTATTATACACTTTCCGTCTGACCATCCACCCAACCGTTTAGGAGTTCTTGAACATCCTTTGTAACGTGGTTGAGTAAACGTGAGGTGTTATTTTTATTCTTTATTCACGAATAAGCTGACGCTTCGGCGGATTTCGCCTTAGAGCCTGGAGATCCTTCGTACGTTCTACATGCACCGCTCATTACGTGTTACCTAGGAATAAAAATATTAAAAAAAAATGTAACATGTACTAAGCCAGTGAAATACTTTGCTCACTTACAACTTTACTTCTTTTTACACAAAAACAGAACAGAAATGACCTTCGTGACTAGCACTTAATCAGTTAACTGAGGGTTCTCTACGGGCTTCTAATTAAGATGCTTTTGACGCATGTGTCCAAAAAACTGAATGAAACATAACTATAAAGCAAACTACGTTCGGCATGGAATTTGGGTGCATTGGCAGCCTCCAAACACTCCTGCGAATTGTGCAAGTTTGGCAGTACCCTCCGAGCCACTAAAACAGGTTACTAACTTGGTGCTTCCAACCTGTGTGGTCACATATCAGAGCATGTAAGACATATTGAGGTCGATGATCTAGGCTTTGCAATTAGGACTAAGATAGTACAATGGTTACTCAGTTAAATAGTTAACCGGTTATGCAGAACCTGCAGCATTTTCTACATTCGCTTCGTTATCTTGCAAGATAGAGTTTTCGTTTAGCTAAAGTTCCGATTTGAGAGTTTGTCCTCTTCTCTTAGTAATACGTCGAATTCTCGAAAGCGTTTTTCTGCATGGAAATAAGAGATAGCTGTGCTACGACGTTCTGGATGGAAAGATTAACTAGAGAAGAAAAGAAATGAGGACAAAATAGATCCGGAAATCGGCTATGCCTGAGAACCATTAGTGGAATTGATTCGACGGTTGGCCTGCAGCCGTCTAGAGGCGTGAAGTCCTATGCTGGCCGTCTTTGATCTTGCCGCCATGGCCTTTGATATTGCCGTGGAATCTCTCTGCGACTCCTAGAACGACGTGCTGGCTCGTTCCCGGTTCTGGTCGTTGCCGACGAGAAATTGTTTCGCAGATTCATAATTCTTCCGTAATGTCAGTGTTTTCATCAATTCAACACCTTTCCTACAGACCTGCTTGGTATCAGATTTGTTTCTGTGAGCCATTAGTATATTCTGCGACCATTCTTCCGTATTAAACTTGTCGAGTGAATCGAAGTTTGTGCTGTAATCGAGTTTCCATCGTCCCAGTAACTTATGTTTCCGCTTTGAAGAGTTTTTGCTCATTGTGATCGTCCTGTTTGAAAATAAAGCGCATCGATTTACTAGAATAGTCACAACACACATTTGAATAAAACACACGTTATTCAGTAGGATTTTCTATACGATCGGATTTGGCTCGGTTTTAGTGGACCCGGGATTGATTGGCAATATGTCTAGAAGAGAATCATCGATATTACTTTTAGTTCCTTTAACCACTTGCATGGTACCCACTAATCAACTGCATTCGTTTCGATCGCATTCCAGAACTGCTCAGTGAGTTCCACTCCGCCTAGGAAAGTGGAAATCACCACCATTTTGCTATGGTGACCTTTTTCACGCAATCAGCAATGAATAAGATGAATGAAACGGTAAAGAAAGAAGTGTTCGGTGTTGAATGAAACCTCAAACCTTAGAGAGGCACCATGCCCATCGGTTCTATTAACCACCCACGACAGAGATGGTGAATGAATGTTGAGTGGATGACAGAGATGAATCATTTTCGGCCTACACAAACACTTATGAGGACAAAGTAATGAATCAAGCCAATGTTTTTATCCTAACAAATAAGTCCTGTCAGAGTTTGCAGACCATGGGGGATACAGCGTTTACGCAACCTGGAGAGTGGATGCGATATAGAACCAGGGAGCACGTGTTTATTGCAGATTACCATTAATCATTGCGCTACTCGCGATCTTGTATCCGCAATGAATCCTGGAGCAGACCTTGGCCAGGATGTCCTCGGGATTCCAGAGAACCACAATGTCTTAACCAGTAAATCTCCAAAAATTGGTGATTATGGTGGAGCTCGCACAGCTAGTGATGACGGGTCGTTCAAATATCAAGTATCACGTAGTACAATATCGTGAGTTTTCATTTACTGCCTACTCTTTTTAATGGCAGGGTATAATGTGAAATTTAACCATAATGATGCTGAGATACAACCACAATGGTGCTGAGATATTTGAAAAACTCCGGATCGCAGGTGTCTATGGTGGGAAACGAACGCGCTATTGTCCTTTCCGAAGAGTAACGCGTTCACCACCACATCATGCGAGTCCTTCGTTTCGCCTCTTTTATTGACCTACAAGTACTAGCTAGGGCAGGCAGTAAGTAAAAACTAACGACATTGTGATTTATACCACAGCTTCAGCTTAACTAGGTTCAAAGGCCATTTGTGCTTCCCAAATCAATACCGTTGACGGATGATTGCTGATACCAGCCATAGGTAACTAAAACGACTGAGAGAAAATCGAAACGAAGTGTTCGTATGGTGTGGTGGTGAACACGTTAGCCCTCAGAAAGAGTAATAACGTATTCGGTCCTCACCGCAAACATCGGCGGTTAGGAGTTTTGCAAATATCTCAGCATCATTACGGCTATGTAAAGTTATTTTTCAAACCAACTTTTCTTGAACCGCGACAAAAGAACCCAACGCCTTTTTTCGATTATTAAGCAAGAATGAGGCTATTAAAAATATTTATTTATTCGGCTGACGTTTCGACATCTTCATCTTCTTCAGA